AAAGGCGATAGATACCCACTTTATCTGCGAGTGTTGTCTGCCCTTTGCCAGTCAGCCAGGGTTCCAGGGGCATTGGTGGCGAGGAAGGCGAAAAGCGCAACATGTAATTGGCTGGAAAAGGTCCTCAGAGCAGCTTCTGTGTTTTTGTTGCTCGAGGTGACCGACATGCGAGCGGCTCAGGAGTGAGCTGAGACGCCGAGACAAGGCTTGTTGACTCGGAGTCAATGATAGAGACAAGGTAGCGGCATCTGAACAAGGCTGCGTGGCTCGGACAGTGGACTGAGCTTACGGGAGCGCACTTTTTGTGTTTTTCTTTCTTTCAACAGTCGCCTCGGTGAATAGCCGTGGTTTCGGATTGTCGTCGACAAGTTAGCCTCTGGGTTGATTTCAAAAGAGGTTGGCTTGAAGGAGAAAGAAGAAGTGGAGCGGGCCAAGGTGGATGGGGTTTTTTTTTTTTTTTTTTTTTTTTTCCCTTCCGATCCGGTACCCGTCCATGCTCTGGAGTCCGGCGCCTTTGAAGGGGGCAGACTTTTTTTTCTCCTTCTTGTCTCCTTTGGCCGCGTAGGAATACAATCTGCCGACTAGTGATAGGCCGAGGTGAAGGTTGAAGGCGAAGAACTGGAGGGTCCTCGCGCCGAAAGTGGGGACCTTCCCTGGCAGAAACGATACGTACCTCCCTTACCTTCACCATGCTATCCTGGGCCGGTGCACCTTGGGGCGTGGAGGGTGGATCGTGGAGCACGAGGAAAGCACTTTTTTACCTTACCTGAGGTTGCGACAGGGCAAGGAAGGAGGAGGAAGGTGATGCAGCTGTACTTGATAGGCAGGTACCTACCTCCTCTCCCCGGTCTAGGTCTTTCACGGGAGACTGGGAAAAAAAAAGTGCATGTGGGCGTCTTAGCTGGACAGATCAGGGACAGAAGAAGGCAGGTTGACGTGCTGAAGAGCCTTGGACATGGAGCCCTGCACGCCTTCGAGCAAGAGAGACAAAAAAAAAAAAAAAAAAAAAAAAAAAAAAAAAAAAAAAAAAAAAAAAAAAAAAAAAAAAAAAAAAAAAAAAAAAAAAAAAAAAAAAAAAAAAAAAAAAAAAAAAAAAAAAAAAAAAAAAAAAAAAAAAAAAAAAAAAAAAAAAAAAAAAAAAAAAAAAAAAAAAAAAAAAAAAAAAAAAAAAAAAAAAAAAAAAAAAAAAAAAAAAAAAAAAAAAAAAAAAAAAAAAAAAAAAAAAAAAAAAAAAAAAAAAAAAAAAAAAAAAAAAAAAAAAAAAAAAAAAAAAAAAAAAAAAAAAAAAAAAAAAAAAAAAAAAAAAAAAAAAAAAAAAAAAAAAAAAAAAAAAAAAAAAAAAAAAAAAAAAAAAAAAAAAAAAAAAAAAAAAAAAAAAAAAAAAAAAAAAAAAAAAAAAAAAAAAAAAAAAAAAAAAAAAAAAAAAAAAAAAAAAAAAAAAAAAAAAAAAAAAAAAAAAAAAAAAAAAAAAAAAAAAAAAAAAAAAAAAAAAAAAAGGACGACCAAAAAAAACCCTTGAAGCAGCTGTCTGTGGTAGCCCACTCAATCCACCTGCAGGCAAAGCACACTCACACCCTCTCCCCACCCCGTCAAGCCCCCGCCCACGCCGCACCGTCTTCCTCCCCGCTGTGGAACAGACGATTCGGCGCCAACGTCGGGGGGACCCATTCCCCACTGCAGCAGCATGCCTCAGAAGCGCTGCAGGCGCTGCAGCCAGAGACATACAACACACCGCAGACCGACGTGCAGCAGCGCAGCAGCAGCAGTAGAGGCAACAGCTCCCAGGTTCACACCTTGTTGAAGAAGCTTCCCTGGGCCCTGCATGTCGTGGTCTTGGTTACTCTCTGTGCCCGACGCCGACCCGACGCCGCCAACCTCCTCCTCGTCCTTCGTCTCGTTCTCAATGCCCAACGCCTTTCGCAACCATGCTGTTCCTTGCCGGAGCATGTTCATCGCTTTTACACCGGAGATTTGGTCTGGACCGCTTCATTTGGACTGCGTCAATGCTGTCATCAGGAGGTGTGACTTACGTCTGCCAGCCAAGAATAGCTTGCCCAGGTAGCCTAAGCTTGACAAGCAAACCTCTCAAGCAACCACCCGTATCTACAGCGGTGCCGCGACACGACCCGACCTGCTTCCATTGCTATGCGCAACTTATTAAAAGGTAATGTACGAATCTGCTATGTATGTACATACCTTACCCGTCAGCTGGGATGTCAACGTGACGAATAGCGGGGATCCAGTAGCAGACCCATCTGGCTGAGGCCAGGGCCATCGCTAACGGCCTTGTCACATTGACGCGGTTCCAGTTCCGCAGAAGGCGAGCTAGGTATGCTACGCCGTACATACTTTGCACTTGCACAGGGCTTTGAAGCAACACAGCAAGTCAACAGCAGCAGCATGTCATGAGAAGCAAAGGCTTTGAGTCTTGAATCAAGCCTCTGGAAAGATGCACATACCGACTCATTCAGATGGATTGAATGTGTTGCAGAGTGAACACGGACAGGTCAAAAAGGCTGCAGGACATAGTTAGGTATCCGTAGAAGACCCAAGTCAAGAGCTCCCATGCACCAGCTCACTCTTTGGTGCGGTCTCTCTCAACCACTCGCAAGCTCCGAAAAGAAGAGCAAGAGAAGAAAAAAAAAACAGGGCCCACTTTACAAACACACCCCTCCCCTCCTTCCCCCTCCTCCGCCCTCTTGCTCCCCTGTCGTGCTCCTTCCGATCCTCCTCACTTCAACTGCCTCTCCCCACTCGTCTTGACTTGAATCTTGCTTTTGCAGCCACGCCCCCCTTTCCCACGAGGTAGGTACCTGACCTCTTCATCATCCTCTCCCACTCACTGTCTTCTGCTTTCCTTTAACCCTTGAATCAACCAACCCAGCCCACCAGACGTGCTCCGGCATCGATCGAGTCATTCACATTGCCAATCGTCTTGGACCAATGACCAGCATTTTGTCTCCTCGGCGGGTCAATTTGCCGACCAGCTTTTTTCTTCTCCTTCTGCTGGCAGCAGCAGCTCCTCCAGCTACCGCACTCTCCTCCAAGAGGTACCGACCGTACGAATAGCACCGCAACAGTACCAACCTCCAAAGCTTGCGGATTGCTTAATTGCCATTGGCAGAGCTATTGGGGGACTTTACGATGCGGTCCTTGTGTGTCCGTACCCCCGCGAGGTACTTACTCTGTGTACCTAATGTAGGTAAGGAACCTCAGGGAGTAATTACAAGGTAAGCACCAAGCAACCGGGCATGCAAGCTCTCATTCTAGGTAGGTAGCTGGTGAAGGTACGGGTGCCGAAGCATCGAAGCACCACTGCGACGAATGATGGCTGCAATGCTTTGCTTTTCCATGCTAGCAGGATAACCAACTGTTCCCATGGGCCCGTCACTCGGTTGCCGCCATTCTTGGCCAAGTCAGGCACCTCGTCGTGTCATAATTTTCCAAACAAAGAAGGGAGGCGGCATGACTGACTCGATGGAAACAAGTTGCAACCCATCTCTCGGTCAATCAGTCTCGCCTTTCGCCTGGTTTCCTGGAGGAACCAGTCTGGCCAACCACTCGGCGACTGGCCGAGCATCGTATCCCATCGCGGTGTTGTGGGAGAAAGCAGCAGGCGAAGGAAGGCTCTTTATTGACGATGGCGATGCAATGGATGGCCAAGCTTCAGAGTAGCACGCTGCTTGGCCCGCCACTTACACCGCTGCGTCACCGTTGCTTTCACTTACATGCCTACCTCAGGGCAGCCTCCCTTCTGGTGCTATCCACTTGTGCTCTTCCATTTGCCAGTGACATTGACGGCGCCTTCCACAGGCCAACTCAAAACCACCCTCCTATTCGTGGCCTGTCTGACTGACCTCACACACCGAACCTTGCGACGACAGAAACTACTGAGTTACCTCATCAGCTTGTCAGCTGTTCAAATCGCTCCCAAAACCGAGCGCGTCCTTGCTTCCGTCCTTGTGCCTGTTCCCGGCACCCCTCGTCCCCGTCTGCTTAGTCCCAGCCGATATTGGCCTTTTTTCTTTCCCACCCCATCTCCCCGAAGCCAAGTGCAGTAACAAGCAGCCGTAGCCGCAGCCGCAGCCCGTAGCTGCAGGAGCAGCACAGGCAAAGAAGATTGGGAACAGGTGCAGACGAGTACAGCACAGCACAGCAATTCGGGTTCTTCACCTGGAGGACGGGATCCGATGGTTGAGCAGCCAAAGAGCTCGCTCTTTGCACAATCCAACCTCGAATACCTACCTACCTACCGCGTATGCCACAGCTGCGCCGGCTGTTGCTCCTCTTCTGTTGATCGGCTCGTCGCCCTGCTGTTTTAAGGTCCAAGGCAACCAACCAAGCGACCGACCGACAAGGCAAGGGCTTGCTGGATCCAAGCTCCCTCCTTGCTCTCACACCTTGCTTCCCACACCAGACTCCCATATCCGTACCTCTGTGCTGGGTATCCATTCGCACTGCTGGGCTGGGCTACGGAGGGCGCAGAGCAAGGTGAAAGGTAAGGTAATTGGCCCTGGGCCTGGTTACTCTACAGCACCTCAGGTAAGGTACCTGACGGAACTGCGTGCGCATACCCACCAGACCGAGCCACGCCCCTAGCCTGTCCCATACTGCGTGCCTCTCTCTAGGTATCCTCCCCCCTCCCCTCCCCCCATTACCGCTACTTACTGCTTTCGGTCAACTTCCCTTCTACCCCCCAAAAGCAGGTTCTCTTCCTCTCTTCCATCCTCGACCTCCCCGTCCTTTCCCTCCCCTCCATTACACCTTATCCTTCGAAACACTCTTTGTAACACACCAGACAGAGACGGAGAGGAGAGCTTCCAAAGCTCCAACACTTGTTAACTGAACTTCGCAGCTTCCTTCGCATCGCCAAATGCTAGAGCCTCACCAGATTCAGCTACAGTCAATTGGCCTCGCTTCGCGACACACTACGCACGCACTTATCGCACCTCACCCCGCTCAGTATCGATACCAGCCCTCGCGCGCATGGTGGGGTCAAGATGCCGCCCAGATCTTCTCTAACGTCTTCCTTCTCAATCACCGACTCCAACAATGAAGTCGTGTGTCCTCTGAGAAACCAAGATGGCTCCAGCTGCAGAAAGCGCTGCATCGGTGTAAGTCTGGCACCATATGAATGAATCCCTCCTCCAACGGCGCCGCCGACCGTTGCGCTCTGGATTCCACCCCCAAGAGCTTTCGATTACGCCCCCCAAAACCCACCCGACCGACAGAAAAGAGAGAGCTCTTCTGACACAGTCGGCGCACCACAGGAAAAACGATACCGATCCATGCAAGAGCACATTCGCAGAGCACATCCCGAACACTACATCTCCAAGCTTCCGGCGACCGAGGAGAGCTTCCTGCTCATGATCAACACCCCGCCGTCCGAACGCCCTCCCATCCAGCAAAATGCGACATCAGTGCCTCAGGGTTCGTCCCTCTCAATCCAGGGCTTCCCCCCAAAGATTGACCATCTTCAAGGCTTCAACCATGACCGGCACATGTACGACAACAGCAATCCGGGCACGCCCCGAACGCTGGACGATCATGCCGTGGGCTCGCTGCTCCCTGCTGCTAGTGCCGCGGCGGCACTGGCGCAGTTGCACGGTCACAAGGTCGAACCTGAGTGGGAGTCCGAAGTAGTAAGTCGAGAAATCTACCCACTACCACTTACAAGCACCAACAGAGCGCTAAACGACCTTCTCCCATCAGGACTGGCACTCCGACACCGAGGGGCGGCGAATACCCAGGACATCAATTGAACTACCACCAATCCATTTATCCAATAGCGACATCACCAGCGAACCATTTCCAGCCATGAACTCGAGCAGGCCTAGGGATATTTTGCCATCGATTCTTGCAAATTCGCCCCCTGGACGCTCGTCAACCCTACCGCCAATTCAGCGCCCTCCTGGACCTACTCGACCCAGAAAACAGTCAGTCACCAAGAGAGGTAGAGAAGCACACCACAAGAAACAAAAATCTCGCGGATCCGCAGCGGACTGGTTACGACGCATCCAAAATGACGAACGGCTTAGACCAGGTAATAATGACCGTAAGGCGTTATCGGCTGAACCTTCTGCAGACTATGGAAAAAGATGGGAAGATCTCATCGATGCTGCCGACCAGGCTGCTTCTGCCGCCGGTGACATCGATGAGGATCGAACTCCTGTAAGATGTCTGATGTTTACTCATTCGACGCTAGCTGACCATCCCTCAGGTACCCCAATCACCAGTCTCTATCCACAGAGCTTCACTGCCCCCCTTCCAGCACCATAATTTCCAGGCGGCACACGCAGCACAAAGCTACCAAGCTTCGCCGCTCCAACAGGCCTTAACCCCACCATCCTACAACCAGGACACGATTGACCCATTCCCGTCGGTTGAAAGCGGTGAAAGCGGGGAGAACTTCCACATTGAGTCGAGAGGCCTGTCAGACTCGTCACCGAGTTATTCCTCGCAAAACACTCAGATCTACTGCGCAGCCTGTCAGAGCGTCTCACTGCTGAAGGACTCGTATGCCTGCACAGAATGCATTTGCGGCCTGTGTCAGGCTTGCGTCGATGTCCTGATGGCAGAGCAAGGGGCTCGGCGCAAGTGCCCTCGCTGCGCAACAATCGGCGGACGGTTCAAGCCGTTCCAGCTTGACATCCGGTGACATCGTGGCCCCGTCGGTGGCCAAGTCTACACCATCACATGAATTTGCACTTGGGGATCTACGTTCTGCATCTGATATCACAACGGCGTCATGGGAAATAAGTGGCATGCATACACGGCATTGAGGCATGAGGATGAACCGCATTAATACCCCGGCGTTGCAAAGTCGCGAGAGCTTAGAAAGACCAGAGAGCTTTTGACGAGCCGGCTTCAAACATTCTTTACATTCTTATAGGGCCTAGCTACTTACGACAGTCATGTGGGTGTGTGTGGGTTGAAGGCGTCTGTTTATGATCTGACATGATCTGTCACAATTTCTTTTTCCTTTTGGGTCTTATCAGGGATATCAAAATGGCTGCCTTACAGGTTCTTGGGTTGGCTTGCACGTCGTCATGACCTTTCTTTTTCCTTCCCTTTTTGTCCTTTTTCCGTTATAGGAATTGGTGTTTTCTCAGTTGGTACGGGAAATCTGACTGTTAAATGCTCTGATTTGGTTTATAGATGCCAATCACAAAATACAATCATTCCAGCTAATCATGTTTCATTGTCATGTGGGTATCGTATAGTGTAGTATGTTGGGGCACAAGTTAGCTGTGCATCATCGCTTGCCCTCCTTCTCTTTTTTGAGTAGTAAGTCACGCATAGCAGCCCTGGAATTACGACTGCCGCCCAACTTAGGGCCTTTGAGCACATCCTCATCCGCCTTCCGAGCACCCGCCCGCGCTGGCGGTACGGCCGCCTTCTTTTTCTGCTGTCGCTGCACCATGGCATCCATGAACTCGCGCCGGAATTCCTCGGCGATACGATCGTCTGCGTCGCCATCACCCTCATACTGAGGTTGTTGCATGGCAGGCACATCATAGACATCGACTAGCGATTGTTAGCTTTTGCTGCCGAAGACCTGATAAAGACTCGACAAGGAACTACTCACGTTTGTTCTCGCGCAGGATCTCTTCCACGAGCTGATCACGCTTGACATCGTCGCTCCCGCGCCGGTTTCTGGGTCGCCAGGGCTTACCGTCTCGGCCAAGCCTCGGCTTCTTTGCCTTGCGCGGTCCGCCTTCGGGCTCCTCGTCGGGTACAGACTCGCCCAACAGACGCCGGGCGGCCTTTTCCGTCATGGCCTGGTTGCGGGCGCGGACCTCGTCGCCTAGGTCGACCTCCATCAGCTTCCCTTGCATGATGGGGTGTGCCTTTTTGTCGTTCCCCGCGACGGGTGCCGGAGCGGTGGAGGAAAGCGACGATGAGGTATGTGTTGTTGTCTCCGCGGAGGGGGAGGGGTTGCGGTTAGAGAGGTGGGATTCTATGTATTCCATCCTTGCTTGATCAGTCTCTGGCCAAAGGGGCTGGGTGGACCGCAGCGGGTTGCTTGGTGGTAATACATACATGTGTTTGTTTACAATGGTGGTCGCCAGACCCGTCTGCGGGGCAAAGCGTTTTGCGATCAGGGGATCATCTTCAGGTTGTGATGTTGCGGGCATGAGAGCGCGGGAGGATGGGAGGTCTGCGGCGAGCGAGTCTTCTGAAGGGCTGGACGTCGCGCGGGCCGAGAACCCGACGCCGTTGAGACGTTTTCGCGCGCGGTGGCGCAATGTTGACGGGAGGGCCTCAGTCGCTTCCTTGTCCGAGGCATCGAGTTCCGTCCTCGCGGACGCCGCCTCGGTCGGCTGCAGAGTCGGGTCTGTTGTCGTCGGTGTCGATTCAGCGGCGACGGTGTTTGCTGCTCCTTCGGGGGATGCGACGCGTTGGCGCAAGCCGGCTTTGCGCTTCTTGCCTGCGCGGAAGAGGACTGTTGGAGGGTCGGCTGCTGAGGACTCCATGGGGGAGGCCATCTTCTAGCAATTCGAGGGAACAGGATGAGGTCTTTGAGTGTGAAGTCTGGGAATGAAGCGAGCTTTGTTGTGATTGTTGATGCGTGGACGAGGCAGTGAGACAATGGCGGAGAGAAACGAGGCGCAAGAGGGTTGGTTCACAAATTCGCCGAGAGTGATTGGCTCCGGACTTTAGCCGTCCACTATCGATAACAGATGGGGAATGGTCACAGGCAGGAATGCATGTCATCGGTACGTGCGTGATACAGACCCCACAAGAATGTCAAGCTTGAGGGAGCTCCGAGTTACTTTTGACCTTCCTGTCTACACCGTTTCATTCGACAATTCATATGTCAAGGCACACTCCAGTCTTTGAATAGACGAGCATCATGGCTAAAAGAGTAAGTCATCCGGCGTTGTCGGGCTCAATCCTATTTTGACATTTCCCCTTCTCTTCAGATATATTTTCTTGCACACGGCGGCGTGGTACAAGGTACGTCTTGACCCCTCCCCTTCCTCCACATGAGCTCCGAGCTATTATCGCGGTTCCTGGATAAGGAGGAAGCGAGCATCGTCGAAGCTCCATCGTCACTGACGTCACACGCAGGTGTCGGATTTCGGTTCGTGATGAAAACCCCCCAACATTTTAACGTGTTTCCAATTTTGGCGAAATCGACCCCGATGACGAAGACTGCTTGAACGGAGAGATTGACTGTGCATGCATGGAAACAGGTATTTTACGCAGAAGCGTGCAAGCGAGTATGGATTGACAGGGTGGTGTCGCAACACGGATAGCAATAAGGTAAGTCGAAATTTGCATCCATATGCCGACGAGCACCAAATTTCCCTAGTGGATGGAAACGTGCTTTTCAAGTTTGAAGAGACTGACCGTGCTGCCCGCAGGTCGAGGGCGAAGCGCAAGGCGAAGAGGACGCGCTGAAGAAGCTGTTGAAGGACATTGACGACGGTCCAAGGTCGGCCAGGGTCGTCAAGCTTGACCACGAGGACCGTGACTTGGTCGACGGAGAAGAGGGCTTTCTGGTTCGGCGGTGAGGCGCTCATCCCTGAGAGCCGGTAACCCTCAGAAAACAGGCTGGACGAAACCTGCAGCACGGGATTCTCATAACCTTCCTGGGAAAAAACAGAAGTTACAAATGTAGTTTTACTTACAATATTGAAACCAAAAGCCACCAAGCCCGGCTATGCGATTCGCTCGAGATAGTGACTCACTTGTGCAAACATTTGACCCTAGCCAGGGTTCCACAGAGGAGCAAAGTATGCAAAGAATCGTCAGTCATAAATAAGTCAGTTTGACAGTTTGGATATATTCGCTACGTTCAGCATGAAAAAGCAAATTCAACGACCAACTGGACATTCACTGACGCCTAAAAATCAAAGCAGAGAAAGTTCAGAAGAGCACCGGAGACGTAAATTATTGGTCGTCAAGCTCCATTTCTATTGCTGGTATTTTCGCCCAAAAGTATAGATGCCTAATCCAACTAACGCTCTAAACGCCTCTGCCTCTACGCTTAATAACGGGCTTTCTCACGGCCCCATGCGTGACGATCTTCTTCCCGTTGGTCGACGTACTCGTCACCTTCTTCTTCGTTGACCTCTCTGCTTCAGCTTCCAACCTCTGCTCCTCCCTCTTCTTATCCTCGGCCATCTTTGCCTCGATTTCCATCTTGCGATTGAACTCAGTCTCCGTTATCCGCTTGTCCCGCACCGAGTACCCCTTTTCCTTGACTGAGTAGAACACGCCGCCCAAATCAGCCAACCAATGGGGGTCGACCGCGGTGACGGTCGACACATACACCTTCGACGTCAGGATGAGCTCGTGGTAGATGATGTAATCTGGTGGGTGGCCGGCGTACAGCGCCGAGGTCGGATGCAACTGAACGCCAAGGTTGGTGCGGAGGTTGATGTACTCGCCGGAGCCCTTGTACTTGGCGGCCTGATGATAGTAGCCGCTGCAGATGCACTTGCGGATGATGTCCCAATCCATACCGCAGCTGATCATTTCCATCTTTTGCATCTTCATAATATCGAGGAGCTGGTCCCGAATCTCCTTGGCGCGACGGAGCGATTTGGGGTGAAGGAAGTGCTTGATACACCATCCGTCTGAGCATCCGTTGGACTTCCACGCCGAGTATACCTGCAAGTATGTCAAGTGATCAGACTCGTGAACCCAGAACTTTTCTCGCTGTGTGTCTGCTTCTTCTTGGCGTTCTTTCGGGCGATAGAAAACATTGGGAACAGACAGCATGGATACGATGGTGATCATCTCCTCGCTGCAACCGTATTCCTCAGCAGTGATGAGAAGCTTCGAAAGGGAAGGATCCATTGGAAACGCGCTCATCTTGCGGCCCAGAGGAGTGAGCTCACCCAGGTTATCCAACGCGCCAAGGGCCCAGAGGTCGAACATGGACGTCGTGATAGTGTCCTGAGGCGGCGGATCCATGAAGTCAAAGTCTAGGAGATCCTTGACACCAAGCGACTTTAGCATGAGCACGGTATTGCTCAGATTCGTCCGCTGGATCTCAGGAATGGTTTGCAGGTAAAGCTCTTCCTTGAATGCCTTCTCTGTGAAGAGACGGAACGCTTTGCCGGGGCCTGTTCTGCCTGCACGACCTGATCTTTGCGACGCGTTTGCCTGCGAGATCGGGGTGATTTGGAGGGTGTCCATTCCCATCTTCGGGTTGTACACCTTCATCTTGCTGTAACCTGCATCAACCACGTACTTGATACCATCAACAGTCAAACTCGTCTCCGCAATATTGGTAGCCACGATGCACTTGCGCACCCCAGGCGCTGCCCTGTCAAAGATCTTGGCTTGCAGATCTGCAGGCATTTGACTGTAAATCGGCAAGATACTGAGCTTGGGAGGATCGTTGAGTGCGTCCAGTCGTCGCTGGATAAGCTCGCAGGTGACCTCAATATCTTCTTGACCGGTCATGAAAACGAGGATGTCTCCTTGATCCATGGATACGTGAATCGCAAGAACCTGCTGAACTGCCTGGTCGACGTAATCTTCAACCGGTGATCTGTGGAACATGACGTCGACAGGGAATGTTCTTCCAGGGATAATAAACTCTGGAGCCCCGCCGTAAAAGTCTGAGAAGCGTTTGGCATTCATCGTCGCAGAGGTGACGATGAGCTTCAGATCTCTCCGTCTCTGGAGGATCTTCTT